AAGTTTACGGGATTTCATAAAACCGAAGTAGGTTTTAGGTTGATTAAAATTTACTTTCCATATCATTTTAAACTCACGACATTTCTACTAAGTAATGATGATTTCTTATACATTTTGGTCTTTGGTTATAAGGCTACATTTTACGGATTTCAAGGAAAATATCGGATTTTTCTGAAACAAACGCGACATTTACATGTGAAAGACTTCTACTAAGTTTTATAATAAAAGCTTATGAACTCACCAACCTTTTTGTTGACACTTTTCAAACAACTTGTATTCTCAGGAAAACACTAAACAGGTAATCAAGTGCTTTTGAGGATGGGACGTTAAGGCGTCAAACTTTTCATATTTTGTCAACATATTGTAATTGATTTTGAACCATGAAATTCATACAAGTGATGTAACTTTTTCAATTATATATATGTTGGTTATGTTTGCTTAAATTACTATTGAAATTGTGGTTATGATACTACATGAAGTCCTCCACCCCCGGATGTTTCCGCCATCCTTGGTTTAGGGGTGTGACACTCAGCCACAACATTCTGCTAAAGAGGATCTAATACAACTTCTATATATGATTCAGGTTCAATAGATGATACATGTTCACTATAAATGAAGCAAATGGTCCTGAGTATGTAGAGTATGCAAAATATGGAAGCTTGGTGGACATGATAGGATGATTAAACCAATCGAGGTGTTGTGGTGGAGGTGGATCTTTAATTTAATCCGTTAAAGGAGAAGACTCGGGAGCAGGAGTTGAGGAAATCTCTAAAGAAGTGGGTGTGTCATGAGCTGAAGGATCGGGTGGCATATATGGGTCTCGAGTCTCTATCTCCTCATCGAAAGGATCAATATGCAGAATGTCTGACTTCGTTACATTATGGGTTGTAGCATGAATTGAGTAGAAAGGAATATGTTCTGAAAAAGTGACATGTCGGGAAACATATAACTTTTGACTCACAAGATCATAGCAACGTTATCCTTTCTGTCCAACACCATACGCCAAAAATACACAAATAGCAGATTTCGGTCCTAACTTGTTCCTCTCAACATGAGGATGAAGAACAAAATAAGTACATCCAAAAACTTGTAAGGAAGAGTAGTCTGTGTTGGATTAGATGTATAAGCCCATAACTATTGTTGATATGTACTCGACCCGAGAGTAGCATGGTCCATTTGGGTTGCATATCATCCAGACAATTTATTAGGATAGACTCTTGAGAGAAGGTTATATATGATTTATAAATATATTATATGTTCTAATATATTAATATGAAATAATATGTTTTAATTAGTATTGATCAAGAATTAATTTGGAATTAATTTAGTTTTCAAAAGAGACTAATTAAATCTATGGGGACTAATTATGGTAATTAGTTATATTTATATGTGTTGGGCTTATGATCCATGTTGGACCAAGTTTATGTATGGATACATAAAGAGTTGGGCCACATGAACCATGGATCATAACACCCATGGGTATAGGTTTGGGTTAACCCATGACCTTTGGAATTCCACATATAAATATGTTACTTCATAGCCAAAAGCAAAATTAATTTATTCTTGGAGGATATGGATGATTTTTGTGGATATGAATTCTCTCTCAAGTTTCATCCTTTGTCCATGATGTGTTGTGACTTCATTTGAGGCTTCCACACTATGGGGGCTAAGCTCTTAAGGCCAAATACATCAAGACTTCAAGCTACATAAAAGGTATGTTACCCTAACTAGCATCTTATATGGTTTATATCAAATGCATGTTAGTTATAGGTTTAACGCCTTGGACCATTTGCATGTATAATTTGTGAAAACATAGATCCAAGATATTTAGGGTTGTATATGCACCATAGGATGTTGTAGTATACAAAACCCATCAGTATGGTAGGTAACCATATAGCTTCTCAAAAGGAGAAATTCGTGAATTCAATGAAGTAGGGATACGATTAATCATATAACCAGTAGTTAATATTGCTTCTCCCCAAAAGGCACTAGGGACCTACATAGACGGGAGCAATGAGCGGGCTATCTCAACAATATGATGGTGTTTACGATCTGCCACACCATTTTGCTGAGGAGTGTCAGTACATGATGAATGGTGAATGGTAACATCAGAAGAAAGTAACTGAGTAAAATCATTAGAGGTGTATCCATCCCCTATGTCACACCTGAAGCACTTGATCATAACCGAATGTTGAGTTTTAACAAGAGCTCTAAAATTGATGTAAATGCCAAGGAAATCAGATTTGTGTTTCATAAGATAAACCCAAATATATCGGGTATAATCATTTATAAAAGATACATAATAGGTTGGCCCACCCTTTGTGGATACTGGTTTAGGACCCCACACATCATAATGAATAATATCAAAAGGAGCAGTAAAACAAGACATACTTTTACTGAAAGGTAAAGCAGAGAATTTTTCCAGTTTACAACCTCAACAATCAGAAATATCACAAGTGTTCAAATGAACCAAAACGCCATTAGATGCTAGAAAACTCAAATTTGATACAAATACATGTCCCAAACGAGAATGCCAAAGATAAAACTCAAACGACAAAAGACTCAAACGAAAAGAAGACAAATCAATTCTAGAGGCAGCAACAATAGATACTTTGAGAACCTCCAATACATACAGTTCCCCCACCCTACAGCCGATCCCAATCACCTTTTGGGTGTGTTGATCCTGTATAATACAGACAAAATCAGAAAAGAACACCCAATTACCAGACTTACACAACTGACTGACTGAAGCAATACTCAAAGTAAGTTTGTGAATGTAATAAACATCAGGGGGAGTGATATGAGAAATAGAGACAAACCCAACAAACTCAACTAGCATAGATGTATCACTAGCAAACATAACAGAGATAAATGATACATGTGACAAAGAAGTAAATGATGACAAATGTGAAGTCATGTGATGGGTTGCACCAGAATCTAAAATCCACAAAGATGATGGAATACCTGAGGTACCAGATGAAGTAGGACTAGAATGAGACATAGATGCAAACATGGCAGTGAGATTAGAGGCAAAATATTGTTTGAAACTCTCAAAAACTTGGGGATCCAATGCATATGGTGGCATGCTTCTAAGAGATTATGTGTCAGCTGGTGGTGCAGTAGCAACAACAAACTGTAGAGCACGAGGTGTCTATGGAGGAGTACCAGAGGAACATGGTTGAAACTTTTGTTGACCAGACATATTCTATTGTCCTAATTGAGGCTGACCAAATTTACCCTTGTTAACTAAGTGGACGCTGAGCTTTCCAATGATCTCTCTGTTTGTAGAATGCACACTCATCATAAGCAACCCTTGGAGTTTGTCGAGACTGATTAAAGGAAACAACAAGCACAACAGGAGTGAGAGAAGGAATGGAGGTTGCTTAAAACCTTTTATCCGCGTAAGACTTAATATGAGTCTCTTCAACAATCAACTCATGAACAACATAATCCACTAAGGGAAGGGGAGCGATGAAGAATCGTTCCACGTAGGCCTTCAAAATCAGAACACAAGGTCATGAAAAAATGGAGCAAACGTTATTCTTCCCTCCTAGTAATACGACTCAAAATCTTTTAACTATCTAGATTCAGTGAGAGCTAATTGATCCCACAAATCAGACATAGCAACAAAGAAATCTTGAATATGCTGGTCGTTTTGTTGAAGAGCACGAATATCATATTCTAACTGATACTGTTTAGCAAAGTTGGTCGAGTATACAGTCTCTCCAAGTGATTCCAAACTTCCTCTGTTGTGTTATATTTAGCCAACTGCATACCAATATACTGTGTAACATAATTGTTAATCCAAGTAATGACCTTGGAGTTATCAGTCTCCCAAGCATCAATCAACAAATCAAAATTCTCAGCTTGAGGCACAGAGGGTTTGGCTTTAGTCCCAATGACATAGTCCTGCATATTCTTCCCATGAAGGAAGTTCTCCATAGCATAACTTCAATACGTATAATTTTTTTCATCTAGTCGGGTACTGATTGACTAAAGGGAATCATCATTTCCAGTCATGTTGACAATGGATAAATAACCACAACATTAGATAAGCAATCTAAGAATGAGAATAGCAACAAACCAACAGAAGCAACCAATCAAACAACAAGAGATCAAAAAACAACAAACGAATACCAGCAAACAAACGAACATCAACAACGAAGAAGCATCAAACAAATTGAAAACAAAAGTAACCCTAGAAATTTTCGATTCGCACTACAGATGACTGCTATAAAACATTCTAACAACGTATCAAACATCCGCTCTGATACCATGATAATATTGCTATATGATTCTTGAAAGAAAGAAATTACAAAGTTCTCAATAAAAAACATAATAACAACAAAAAAGAAATGAAAGAATAAATACAACTAAAAAAATACCTTAATAGACTAAAACCTAAACATATATGCTAATAACATATAAGCTAACAAAACCTACACAAAAGGCCCTAAGTTCCTCACCATCTAAGTCAAAACTTACACATAACATCCTAACTTCCTCGCAATCCAAGTCAAAACTTACACATAACGTCCTAACTTCCTCACCATCCAAGTCAAATTCGATCGATAGTCAAAGCGTCTGAAAGGCCTAGTCCGAAATATTTAATGGGTACCAAGTCCCGAAAATTAGTTAAATAGGAGACCACCAACCCATATGACTGAGTACCCTTTCAAATTATAGTCCAAAATGTACATTTTATTCTAGGCTCATGGGTCATTTTATATCAAATAACTTAGATCAATTTCTATTAAAAGAAAAAAAAAATGAGCCACGATGCGCACCCAAACACACAAAAAGATGAAGATCATAGTTCAAGAATTTTTTTTATTCCTGAACAGTAATTACAGACGATTAATCATAAAATTAGACTTATGTACGAAGAGTCAGAGAGATGAACATTAAGACAGTCATCTCTACATACTACTCTTTATATACAGACTCAAACACTTGAATTAACATTATTATTGATCTTAAAAGACGATGCTGGATTCAGCTTAGAAAGTAGAAATCCAGGGATCTTCAATTCCTTCAAATGTATGGATTAATGTGTGAAGAGTAATCTCGAATTCCAGCACCTTCCCAACCCATCCACTCTTCCCACATATCCCAATCAGAATCCTCCATTCCTCTCATCGATTCATCGATCCCTGCATCCGACGATCCATAATACTCCATTTCTGGTACACTTGTTTCATCTCTCAAATGACTCATCACAACCTGCAAATCATCGCCCAAATTTGAGTTATAAAACAATTCGATTTTGAGATGGAATTCCTCCTATGTGAAAAAAAATTAGATTACAAGGTCACTGTGCTTCGATGTTATGAAAAGAACAGATGGAGATGGAAACAAAGAGAGAGCGTACATTGTAAGCTTCGTTGATTCGGTGAAACTGGACTCCGCAATTGCTTCCTCTGCACACATCTGGGTGATACTGAAATTTCATCGAAAGGGGAAAAAAAGTGTGATTAATCGAACCAAAACAGATATAAACCAATTTTTTCTGAATAAACAACGAGAAGATCGGATTTTGGATAATCAGAGGTTCATAGATTACCTTCAAAGCTAGCTGTCTAAAAGCCTTTTTGACCTCAGATTCAGAAGCACCAGGACGAACACTTAAAGTTTTATACGGATCAGAAGCTAAAGGACTTGTCGACACACATCGAACCCTAAACCTCCGATCACCGCCACCACTTCCTCTCGCCGACTTCTTGTTATGCGAATTTCTCAATTTCCCCCACGACGACGATGAAGAGGTCGATGATGAAACACAGCTATAGATCATTCCAGCAGCACTCGCCATGATTTTCTTCTTCTTCTTCTTCTTCTTCTTCTTAAAAACAAATTAAAAGTTTTCGATACCAGATATCGAAATCAGTTTCTACAGATTGATTTATATACGTGAAATTGTGGATCAGAAACGTTCAAACAGCGTTCAAAGATATTTGATTTGAATATTAATAAAAGAATCCGTTTGCAATAGTTGAATACAACGAAATGGATTAAATAATCTGATGCGTTTTGTGATAGAAAAGGTCAATAATGGAGAAGAAATGGCATCCTTTAGATTCGAGATATATAGGCCAAGATAGATAGAGAGTAGTAGTGTGTGTTTCGGTATTGTGTGTGAGAGAGAAAAGAACATGATCCAAGGTCCTTATCTGTGATGACGTGTTATTCAGCTTATCCGTGCTATTTAGATTACGACTTCCAATCTTGGGTTCTTTTTAATATTTACCATTTCAGTCCCTTTACTTTAGGTTTTTATAAAATCATCAGCAATCTATATATTCTTCATAGATTGCCCCCACCTACTTCAATTTTTTTTTAATTAGTGCGCTAATATTTTGTGATTTGTTTATAGATATTTAGAATGAAAATATCAAATTTATGTAGGTGACTTTATCGATCTTGCAAGACTTGGATATTAACACCATTTTCTTTGTTTTTAGTGAAAGAAATGAATTTAGATATAAAAGTGCATGCAAGTTGAATTTGTCGATTTGTTCCAAATTTGTTTTATTTCTTCAAACTTTATATTCCCTAGAGATAAAAATCTCCTGGTTTTGGATAAGAATGATGTTGGCAAGATAGACATGTACTTTAGGTCATATCAACACATAGCAATATTGAGATTTTGGTTTTTTATTTTTAAATGCATCATTTTCTGATAAATTAACTTTTTTTTTTCTCGTGATATCAACATTTATATTGTTAATATATAATACTACAAAATATCTTTATATAATAAAAATAAGTGAACCAAATTGCCTAAGGGTATAAAAGTGTTGATAAATGATAAATGTCGTTTTCGCCCAATAGAATTTGAATCCAAAAATGTAAACCAATGAATAGTTTAAAAAATATGTAAGCAAACCATAAAACATTTGAAAAATATATAAAAGACAGAGAAAAACAAATAAATAAGGTTTTACGAAAAATACTAAGAAAAAAATTAGGGTAAATTACACCAATTGTCCCTCGTGCACATGCCAGAAAGCGTGTTTAGTCCCTATTTTTAAAAATTAACTCGGATCGTCCCTCGTTTGGTTAAAAGTTGCATGTTTCATCCCTCGTTAGTTTAAAATTGCATGTTGCATCCTTTACCAGACATAAAATTACTATATTACCCTTATTATTTTATTTTTAATTTAATTATGAATTATTTTGTAGTTTAAAAAAATAAAAAAAAAATTCATTTCCATCCCACCCAACCTTCTGTTATCAGCTCACAAATTAATCACTAAGACCACCATTCCTTTCCACCACCACCGGAGCATCGACCACCGCCATCGTCGGAGCACCGATCACCACCATCACCAGAGAACTGTCCAATAGCATCGTTGGAGTACCACTCACCACCATTTTCGTCCTTCAAAACCACCGCATCTCTCTCCTCACCTTCCTTCTTCTCCAATCAGATAAACATTCTTCTTAAATCTGATACTCTCTCATCCCGGATCTAAGATCTCCGATGATGATGGTTTCAAACCGTCGAGTAGGATATCGAGGATGGTTTCAAACGACGAAGATATGATAAAAACAATGAAGACCTGATGGAATCAGTGAAACCACCATTGGGAGTCTTGAGAGAAGATAAAGGGTTGTGATCCTCGTTCTAAAGATTTGGGTCATTCCGATCTATTATGTTTCTCTAGCGAAATCACAGTTGCAAGGTCATTCAGATCGGTTCTTTTTCTCCAGCGAAACCATCACCGATTCTGGAATCCGGTGCTCGTCTTCTTCACCTGTGCGTCATCATCGTTCTCCATCAGCTAGGGTTTCGAGATCGATGAAGAAGTCGTTGACACATATAAAGATCAGAGAAGAAGGTAGGTGCAAGGTTCAGATTGAGGAAAAAGTCATCAAAATATGTTCAAATCGATATCCTTCTTCAGACGCATTTATATCCCGATTTCCATCTAGGGTTTCAGATCGAGGAAGAAGGCATGTGTAAGGTTTTCATATTATGGTTTGGTTATAGGAGGTGTTGGCGGTGATAGATAGTGGTACCGGAGGTTTTGGCAGTGATAGGTGGTAGGGGATTATCTGTGAAAATTTTGGAGCTTGGGAAATGGAAGGGGAGGGGTGGGCATATTTGTTTTATTTTATTTTTTCTTTTTTAATATAAAAATGATAAAGAAATAAAAGAAAATGAAAAATAAATAATTAATGGTAAAATAGTCATTTCATGTCAATAGGGACTAAGTGTGCAAGAAAAAACAAACACAGGGATGACAAGTTAATTTTTGAAAATAGGGACTAAACGTGCATTTTGACATATGCACGAGGGACGAATGGTGTAATTCACCCAAAAAATTAACAAAAAGAAAAACAAATTTTATCTACTAAATAATTATAAAATTCAAAACCTAATAATTTGCTTGTAAACTATTATTATAGCTATATTTTTTATTTTTAAATAATAAATATTAAAAATATATACACTTTGGCTAATTAAAAACCGAAATAACTAAAATAAACTTGTTACTTTAAATATTTTACGACATTTATGGTTACATTTGCAATCTCAACTTAGCACAAGGTAGAAGTAACAAGAGTGGAAAAATGAGAGGGCTTTAAAGTAAAATTAACTTTCTAGTGATGCAGGACGCGTGTAGTAGTATCAGTGGATATCCTTAAAATCTGAAGCTCTTACTTTTTTTTTTTTTTTTTTTTTTTTTTTTTTTTTTTTTTTTTTTTTTTCATTTATAGTACCACCACCTTCTATTAGTGGACTTTAAGAATATTGATAATTAATAAACATAAATTACTTTCCAAGAAATGGATCAGGTATTGGATAATTTTGGGATATATGCGTCAATTTGGGTAGGGCGTGGTTTCATTGCACCCCATGCGTCTTTTTAATTTTGAGTAGGACGTGCACATTTTAATATTAAAAAAATAGTCTATCTATTTTAAATTCTTCTCAAACCAATTACAAGAAAGAAAGGTTATTTAGAAATTTTGCTCCTTATCATTTCAAAACTGAAATTTCTGTGTGGAATGTCATAGCTCTTATCATAGGGTGGAGTGGATTACTCGTTAGCTTGATAAGAATTTTGTTAATATTTTGTTATTGAAGATATATATATATATATATATATATATATATATATATATATATATATATATATTTTAAATTTATTATGTTTGATTTATTTTTAAATTCTTTTAAATTGTTTATGCTATAAAATATAAATAATTTCAAATAATTTAGAGGTAAATCAAGTACGATAAAAAATTTAATAATTGAAAAAAAAAATTAAAAATTTATCATTAACCCTTTTTGTCTCTTAGTTTATTTTGCCGATTAGCAGAAATTAGTTAGATTAATAATTTCGATTTCCGTCTTCATGTTTGTTTTGTGTTGTGTTTATAAGTAGTATGACATAATAGATTATCGTACCACAAAACTTTCATGACTTTAATCTTAGTCAATGAGATAAACTTTTAACTAAAGTTTTTTTATTCGTTTCATGTTTTTGTTTCTATTTACGATTACAATTTATAGGTTATAATATGGAATCATTAATATAAACACATATTACAACAATTCATGTACATTATATAGAATACAAACTATTACACCATTTATGAAAATGTGATGTGAACACAACACTACTTTTGTGATTATATACAAAACATTTTACGCTATAACAAGAGATATAAGGAAGAGAGAGTTACAATGAAGCATTATCAATGACATATTAGCTACGACATGTCACCACTAAAGGTAACTACGAAAGCTCTTGATACCTTTAAAGCGACATATATCGGTCGTTATGCTCTTAAATCTTGTAGTGAAAGCAAATATATTTTTTAATTCTTAAAACTTAAACCCTACATCCATATAAAATCATATAATGTAAACACATATTACAACAATTCATGTACATTATATAGAATACAAACTATTACACCATTTACGAAAATGTGATGTGAACACAACACTACTTTTGCGATTATATACAAAACATTTCAGGCTATAACAAGAGATATAAGGAAGAGAGAGTTATAATGACGCATTATCAAGAACATATTAGCCGCGACATGTCACCACTAAAGGTAACTACGAAAGTTCTTGATACCTTCAAAGCGACATATATCGGTCGTTATGCTCTTAAATCTTATAGTGAAAGCAAATATTTTTTTGTAAATCTTAAAAATTAAGGCCTACATCTCGGTGTTCAAATACAAACACGATATGGTTAGGGATGTTTTAGTCGACATATGTAAGCGTGTCGGGTTTCCGCCAAGAAAGAGGTTCCTGTGAATTTTCTGACTGACCCGACAGAAGGAAGATCAACCCTTAGATCGGTTGACGTTTTGATTTTTGGATGGGTTGGATGGAAACACGTATGTGTGGACCTTACATGGGTATCCCCTCTTGTGAGTTTGAGGGCCGGGGGTTTCACAGCGGGACATGCTGCATTAAAAGTTGCTACTTACAAGGTCATCAAAAATGAGAAACTGTGCATGGAAAATCAACAAGTGTTTATACCATTTACATTTGATACGTTTGGTTTCCTTGCGGTGGAGCTTCTTAGTAGACTACAATGGATCGTGCATAGCCATGTTATATCCCCTAGATCTATGGATGTAGTTTTCAAAAGAATTGGTTTTACTATACAAAAGGGTTTAGTGGCGCAACTTGTTATCCGTCTGTCTTCTCATTCGTTATATAATTATAACTAAAATAATGTCCACTTACTATAATCTTACGGTTGATATTGAAATCAAATATTTGAAATTGAAAAAAAAAAATTAACTTAAAAAAAATTAGAGAAAATTGCAAATTTAGCCAAATATACTAATTACTTTGTGGAAAATAGCAAAAAAACCTAAATAACAAAATTAGCCCTTAAAATCGCAGATGGACTAAGTCCATCTGCGATTTCACGTTTCTATATGCGAATGTACAAGTGCCTAAAGCATAACGTTCAAAGATGGAGCCGTCCATCTGTGATTTTGTGTATTCCATCTGTGATTTCATAGAGATTTAGTATAAAAACTTTTTTTATTTTATTTTCACTATATTTTTTAGACAACTCTCTCTCCCACCGATTAGAAGGCAAACCAAATATTTATACATTTTTTAAAGAGGTTTTAACCAAATTTTCCAACGAAATAACAAAAATGATAATTTCTTGAAAAAAAATTTATATATAATAAGATTGTTTTGTAGTCAAATCCTAT